TATATATAATATAACCCTATACTTCCATAAATCAGGTTATATGGAAACGCTTTTGTGTATACACTGATGTTTTTTGTCAGACTCTCTCATTGAATAATAGTGTCAAACAAGAAAAAAGCAAAAGTATTCATGAATTGTTCTTCTGCCAATAGAAATGATTTTGGTTAATTGTTTTGTTTCGGATTATGATACATTTTGATACGTTATGTTCAATATGAAATTTATAGGGTTGTAATTAAAACAATTAATTTTTTATACTGAATATAATTGATACAAAACACCGTTTTTAATCATACTCTTTTATTTAAGTAACAAAAATTTTGAACATTGTTTTAATCAGTTCAGTCAACTATTAAACCGTTGAAAATCAAGAACCATTAAATCAATATTTTATTGTCAATTTGCACTGTGCATAAGTGCACTCGAATGACTTTACCTTTTTTCTTACTCAACAAGTGGACAGATATCTTCCATACATTTGGTTTTATTCTGTTACTTTTATCCAGATTTTTCATCACTACTCAACCCTTTGACGTATGTAATTTCCAAATATTTTGTTCGTTAAATTACTAGTCTTATCTTTTACTTAAGCCTCTTAACTATATAGTAATGTCTTTTTTCAACCTGTCTATGCTTCGTGTTAAGATATTTCTTTAAAAGTGTTGGTAAAGAATAATTTTATGTATACATTTTTTGATATAATCAGATAAATTTCCAATCGAAATGTCACAACGAAATATTAAATTCCATTTTATTGAGATAACGTTGATGTATGCATTTCATCGTCTAGCGAGCTGATTTAGCATCAATGAATTCATTAAATCTGTATCACATTTCTTGGTTTTATTAGTTAAGCACTTGAGGTCATATTAATCTGTGTAGGAAGCTGAATACAGGAACACATGTCTAAGCCGATGATATTAACTTAACTTTGTGCTTTTGTGTGATTTACTTCTGTTCCCTGTAGAATACAGCGTAAACACTCAGATAAGTAATTTGATTCTGAACATTAGTGTGAATTTAACTTTCAGTATCGATAACTGTATAGAGTTGTTGCCATAACATTTTCCACATATTACTTTACCAATGTAACAGTAGTTAAAAACAGTTTTTAATTTCCTTTTCTTCATATTATTGCTGTTTGTTACATCTATTCTAATCTGTGTTTTGTGTAGGCAGAAATGGTTTTTCGTGACTTTGGAAACTTTGTGACTCCAAATCAGAAGAATTATTATGTATTCACTTTCATTGTGGAATCTATAATAAACTACATTAAGTTATTTTAAATAGTTAAAACTATTTATTCTTATAAAGCATTAGTAAATGTAATTTTTAAATAATTAATATTGTGTGATTTTTCCTTTAATCCTTAATTTGTATCATTTTATTGTTTATTAAGTTTTCTCTCCATTTTACCCTTTATTATTCATTATTTAAAAGTGTTTTTATTAAGTGAACTTAATTTACATTTTTCATTACATTTGGATTTTAACTAATCCTGAGTCTTTTGTTTTTGTAGTAAAAATGAGCAATCTTCCAAACTGTGTTCCTCTTTCTTTCTTTCATTCATTCTTTCTTTCTTATTTTCTTACACGTAAACATCAAAGAAGTTATACTTCATTCTATTTAGTTGATTTTTTCTTTGGCTATCTTTAAATTCCACATTTTGTAAATTCTATCTTTTCAATAGTATTTTTCTCAATTTTATAATGGTTAAGTTGTTTGTATGTTCACGTTTAATTTTACCAGAAGCAGTTTGAATGTTAGTCAATTTTTAAGATTTTTTCAAATAGATATACGTATATTTATTGGCGATAAACAATGTGATGTTTTACATTTTCTTTTCTCTTCTTGATGCGGCAAAATTCACAATTTTTTATTTCATCTTATGTTGCTTGATTACTACTAAAGGTGAATACACTTTGGTGAATCTATGTCCATATGATGAGGTTGTGTATTTTTATATGGTCACTATCAGAAAATGGAGTTTAAGTCAATATTGATCAAAATGTATGTTTTCGAAATGGTAGACGATTCGATTTTAACTCTATCATTCACTAGACATCATGATTATTATCGGGCATACATCTAATTTCGATTTCATGTTAAGTTCCCTGCATATGTTGCTGTTAAGTTACAAAGTAGAATAAAACTTTCTTCAATCGTTTCTTGGTTTGTAAACTTTTTTCTTACTAATTCCATTTTGTAAGCCAGACGAAGTTGGGAATTAATCAATCTCTACAGGCTTTCATTCGCAAATATTTTTTATATTATGAAACACCAGCTAGGCTAAAATGCTCGGATACCTGATGATTCATTTGAGAACAAGAAACGTGGAATGGTATAACCGCACTAAAAATAAGATTGATTGCTTGATATTCATAAAAAAATGTTTAGAATTTATGTATACTCATAAAAGTTAAAATGAAGCCGAAGTCAACACCATGGTGAAGACGCTGACATAGTGCACAGTCTTCTGATCATCTTAATCATCAACACATGCACGTCTGGGATGTGGTTTTCTTCCTCGAAATAAAACTTTTGTTTCAGCACCTGGACTAATTATAAATAGTGAATTAGTTAAGTGAATCGACTGCTTCACTTATCATGGAAGTCTCGTCAGTACTGATGGCCTAGTATCTGACCAAACCCCGGCGCGGATTCAAAAAGTCCAATTAGCTTTTGCCCATTTGCGTCACTTGTGATAAAGGCGTCTTGTAAAACATGGCCATTAAGAGTAGAGGATATTCCTAGGTTACTGGTATTCGATCATAGGTATCTACAAACCATTACTCGAGTATTTTGGGACCACGTATTTAATAATGCCCTGAGTTAAGAATGGTAAATCGAATAATGAGGTAGTAAATTCTCATCAACTGTTTCGTATACCCAACCACCGCTTACCTCGATGGACAACTTTTTCTGCTGTGAAAATAATCTCCATGAGACTACAAGGCGGCCACGCCAAACATGGCATCAGTCCATGAAGCAATTAACAATGGGCTTGAGTCACATGAATAAAGGTAGACCACCTGGTTGGGTTCTGCGTGACTATCATAACCAATGGTTATAGACTTTCAATAAAATGGATCAAAATCGTTTTCAATAGAGCAGGTGCATCCATTCCTTTTCGTCCCCAAAATCTGAGATTATAAATTTCTCACAACGCTTGTTTTTATTTTACTAATTTATATTTTCTGAAGTTGTATCTTCAATGCCTAGTTTTTCGTATTACCATTATTACAATTGTTACCTCTAATATTCATGGTTTTGCCTGACAATTTCATATTTGCGCCAATTGGGTTGAACAAATTAAATCCATGTACATACACACCAGGTCATATGATATAGTGTTACAAAAGACTATTATATCAAGCATTCGTATCAGTATATTATGTAAACCGATTTCTATGCTATCGTTTCGTGTCCATTCTTATTGAAATGGTTTTACGCTTCAGTTTCTTATCATTTTGATATGTATATATCCCAATACTAAGATTTTTATCAGTTTATTATTTGAGAGTAGGAAATATACTTCGACAAATATTACTCAATAAGCTTTTCCATCTATCCTATGTATTTTTATATAAAATATATCGATTATTATTGTGAGAAATATATATTACATAGGAATACTGTAGTTGTTTTTTTTGAGTTTTTTAAACTCATACTTACTGCCATCTGAAACTTTCATTAATCTATTTGCTTGTACATGATATTGCTCCTCATACACATTAGTTTCTCATTTTTTTTCCTAAATTTTCTGCTCCAATTTCACTATTTTCTAATTCGTGACTAAATCCGTTTATTTATTCTTTTTATCCTTTAAATATTGAATAGTCCGTTTCCCTTGATTGTATTATTATTATTATTATTATTATTATTATTCATATTATCATGATCCGTATAAATGTGATACCAATGAACCGTTTAAAAGTTTTATTTGCTATTAATTACTTTTATTCACTAGAAAATGTTTATTTAACAAATGAGTTTTACAAGAACTAATAAAACAAAACAAAATAATAATCTCATTTTATCAATATATAATTACTGTATTGTATTTTTCTTTCTCTATTTAACAACAAAACAACATACACATATTCATTAAATATTCAACTAGAAATATGATCCATTAAATTATGTTGCTTATTGAAATAAATTTTTTTCTGTACAATAACTTTACATATATTCAGTCGGTAGTGATATTTTTTTTGCATGCAGAAAGTTGATCGAATCTTTAACGTTACTTTCTCAGTGAAATCATGAAACCTTATGTTTGTTGATCAGATCTACTTTTAAAAAATACTATATTAACTACGGGTTTTTTTTCTACAATGTTCTATTTTTCTAAAATTTCGTATTTAATTGATAATAACAGTAGAATTGAACAATGATAAGACGGAAAGAAAATTGTAGTTTATTATGTGACGTATGAAAGTAAGAAAGAAAATAAACAGTAAAAAATATATTTATTCATGAAAAAAGAAATGGAATAAAGAGAGCAATATAAAAAATGCCACATTTTAACATTAGTTACTGCAATAAGTAATATGTAGGTTATACAAATACCATTGGAAGAACGGCCTGTTAGTCTCTATTAAAAGTATACTATGGAAATAAGTTTATCAGACAATGAATTTATTTTATGTAAAAAAAGCTTGCAATAATTCTTTTTTTATGTAAGCTTTATCATCTTTTGTATTCAGTGACTTCGTAACATATAACTAATCTTCTTTAACTGTAAACGATATTGTATGAGAATATATCAAATTTAACTGCATTAGTTAATATCATTAAATCTAACATATGCATAAGTGTTAACCAATTTCCTTCAAAACATTCAATGTTATTCAATTCGCCATTCCGATAATTAGCCTAATTATTTAGTTAATTTTTTTCTAAAAAAATTTATTTAATTGTTTATAGGAGATCCCAGTATTGGGTAAAGTGTAATAATATTTCATTTTCTATATTCTTTTCTTAAACAACCCGTCTAGGAGCACCAAGACTTCTACAGGCCATTGCTCAAGACAATGTTATGCCATTCTTGGATGTATTCAAAGTGATTACAAAACGTGGTGAACCATTACGTGCACAACTACTCTGTTATGGTATTGCACAACTGGGTATACTAATTGCTTCAATAGATCATCTAACTCCTCTGATAACCATGTACGTTTTATTGTGTTCTTTGCTTATAACTTATCTTTGGTTTGTATTTATTTTGTATTTTTAATCATCGTTACAAGAAAAGGAGTATAACAATATGTATTTTACTTATAAACTGATAAGTTTGAAAATTAACATAGTGCTCATAATGTAATGGAATAAGCAAAGCTTAATTGATATTCAGACACATATAAATGCAGTAATTGATTTTCGACCATATGCAAAGTGCAAGAGAACTTATATCAATTCACAGAAACCCGGCTTTACTACATATGTTAGTTAGTTGTCAGTACTTGAAAATATTTCAGTCCTTAAGAAGGTCAGTTGATGTCATAAAATGGCAACAACAAAATCTAAAAATATAAAACTAGATGACACTTGAAGTATCAGTTCTCCGAAGGCTATAGATAGGTCTCGCTGACGATTAACAACTAGCATTGCATCTAGATAAAGGGTTTCCTACTATCTATTCCCAACCACCTAACATCAAATACTAGATCGTGCTCGTCAGATGAAATATTTAGTATTAGTAAGCAGAAATATTAATTGGGTGTTTAATTTATTTTCTCGTGAATCAATCTCCTTTATTGACTGTAGTCTAAAATTTATTGTTCAAATGAATCAATATATTGAACAGTAACGTATTGATCACTGATTACACGTAAAAAATACATTACCGAGTAAACATGGTCTTTATTTCTGTTTTTGTTATTTTAGTTAGTTTCTATCTAATAAATCTAATACATTTGTTTTATTAAGAAGTGTTAAATCAACTATAAAGAATCAAAAATGAATTGACATAACAAATTATTTGCTGTTTTCGTACAAACCCTTAATTAGTTGTAATGATTGTGATCGTTGTGTCCAATAATTATATGTAACAGATCATACGGTTGTTCTACAATTTATTTGGAATTTTTCTATGGTTTGTCAATACAATTTATTCTTTTTTGCTTCTACACAACAATCCAATCTATATATACATTATTAGGAGTCTTTGTGAATTAGTTCAAAAACTTTTCACTTACCACATATAAATAATTATAGTAGCGAATTAACAAAAAACTACTTTAATTTAGATTTGATTCTACCTATTTGAAATGTCCAACACATGTTTTTATTTTTCTGTTTGTAATAATATATCTTAATTTAAAGTTTATGTTGATATTACACGTAGAATTCCTTAATAAACTTTGAAAAGTCATAAGTAAAAGGACAGTGTTCACACAACAATCTGTTTTATTATTGAAGACAACCTAATCAATTATACAATCATCACACTAAAACTGACCAGAATTGTTATCAAATAAAACAAGAGAAGATGCTGTTACGTTTATTTTGTGAGTCATTCATGTTGTTTGTTTCCTTCTTCCTTTTTTTCATCAAGAACACTTCAGGTATTAGATTCAATCTTCAAATCAGTACTGTTTTAATCTTTCATATTTTTTACACAAATATATTATGTCACAGGTTGGAATCATGAGTCAATTGAAGCTAGACCCCCATGGAAAACCTGGAAGCACTGGACATTAACACCGTTGGATGCCGGCTCAGTGGTCTAATGGTTAAGTGCTCTCGCGTTAAGCCAGTAGGTCCTGAGTTCGAATCCCGTGGGGGGAGGGTTCGTGGATGCGCACTGCCGAGGAGTCACATACTAGGACGAAACGGCCACCCAGTGCTTCCAGGTTTTCCATGGTGGTCTAGCTTCAATTGACTCATGATTTCAACCTGTGAAATTTCCTAAAAATCTCAACAAAACTCATTTTGAAAATATATTGTGTTATTAAACAACTATGACTTAGTTATTAAGCATTTTAAAAACAACCCAAAGTATCCAACTGCTCATTAACAAATGATCTCAAATTTTACAAATCACAAACATTTTAAAATGGTTTTACTCTGAACATCCATATTTACAACTATTTATCCTTTCAAAAGTTTGCCTTACAATGAAGAATCAATAGGTATTTTATATTTATTTATGTAAGAATAGAGTACATACTATGTGATTTATTTCTGTAGTTCATATGTTTATAGTTCTTGGTTCCTTTTTACTAGTAGAAAGATCCAGACACCAAGTTATATAAATATATGTACATGACAAGAAAATAACAGACTAAAACTTAGACCAGATTAATTTCTGTATATATTACTTTTGAAGAAAATTATATGTCATATATTTTAGGCAGAAATCATTAAACCGTGCAATCTGGATTTAGCTTTTTAAATCATTAAACATTTAACCAGTTACAGTGTTCCAAGAAGTTGGTCACTGACATGATAACACTAAGTTTATTAGTTTAATTAATGAAATAGAAAGATCCAATAAGCGCTGTTAGTAAAAAAGCCGTGACCACTGAAGTTCAGTCTTGTCGAGCGGGAAACAAATATTATGAATGATGATAGATGATGGGTACACAATATCTTCAACTGATTGATGTTAAACGTATAGTCCTTTTGACCTCGGCCTTTGGACTCATGAGTTATGTGATCGCCACGATACCTGTATATCGTGAGCTCGATCGCCTATATGGTCACGGGTTTGTCCTGCTAAAAAATCACATACTAGGACGAAACAACCGACCAGTGTTTCCTGATTTTCAATGCTTACTTAACTAACAGTATTCAGTGATGCAAACAGTGATATTACAAAGACGTTAAAATTAGTAGTTATTCATTGTACACATTTTCTTTTTTTGCGCCATTGATTTCCAAAGATTATGGAATAAAAAATAATCAGTTTCATATCTTAGTGAACGCAATAAATGCTTATAATTCTAACTCACAACAAAATTATCGAATACTAAATTAAGGATAAGATCGCACAAATGACTAGTCCCATAAATTAAATTGATAAAATGATGTCATCTTTTTTGATTTATTAATTAAAACCATTTCATTTAGTTTATCTCGAAATCAACCACATTGTTCAAATACATAGTCCATAATAAGTCTAGTTTGTATTCATATAATACAATAATATTTGAAATTCAATTGAAACCCTTTTAAAATTGACCAGATTTATTTTCTTTGTTTCACCACGAAATTTTTACAGTGAAAACACTATTGTCAGGTATTTATCTTAAATATCAAACTAACAATGTATTGAGGAAATGTTTACTGATATATAAATGACTGTAGTTAGTTCGTAGGATGTCTAACTAACTGGTATCTAACAATCTATAAGGATGATTAAATAAAATCAGGATTTTCTAAATTTTATGTATAGATCAGCGCATGAGCTTCTTCAGTTTCAGTGGCAGTATACTTCATGTTTCTCGTCTTTCCAAACACCGTACATCCTATGGAAACAGCTGATTGGAAATTCTTCAAAATTAACTACAACCATATGGTCCAATTCATGCGCATAATTCGCAAACTTCAATTAAATCTACAAATTCTAATCAGAAGATCAACATGAAATGATGACTTGTAAAAATTATGTAAAAACTGAGTTACTTTGTCATTACACACCCCAAAGTAAAAGGTATCTTTAGATTCCCGACAATTCTAAATTAATAATCTTTTGATGTGTCACTGATTGCGATTTCATCTTACTAATTTGGAGTTTATCAGTTATCGAATTGTTTAGAATCAGAATATTGTAAAGTGGTTGATCAAAACCATAACCTGTGGCTAAACACTAGTCAAAGATTATTCATTTTTTGATAATAAATTAATTCGCTTTTTTATTGTAAATCTTAATGACGCTTCATTACGTCGTAATCTTCAGAAAAGTTGAAAAACAGATGTATTGAATGTTTATATATATTCGACAAAAAAATCGATTCACATATTATCCAACAGTTTATTTCCACCAGACCTTACATCTTATAATTTCATGGTGATTTAGTTTTTCCATCCCATCCGTTTAGAACTTTGTGATTCGTGTATAAATAATGATAGCTCTGAATTTTTCGTTATATTGTACATACTTCCGTTTATTTCTTTCAAAAACTACTTGAGAACAATATTAATTTATTTTCAGTTACCATCGTTACCTACATAGTTAAGAATTAACTATTGCCTAATTATTTATTTAGAAGTTTTCCATATATGTCACACGGAATTTGACAGATGGATAATTTTGTGTATACATAATTCATGCTAATAGTTACGTCATAAAAATTGTTTTAAGTCCCATATTTGTGTTACATCATACTGTTGTCTTAACAATATAATGAACTTATTGTCTTCGTGTTCTGTAATATCACGAGGAAAACCAGTTCAAAATTAATTCTTGTTCTTATTGAATTATATCACTGTTGGCGGCCTGGATGTAGGATTCATTGCTATCTGACTAAGAATTTATGTTTACTATTCAATGTTACAAAAACTTGTTGTTTCAAAAGTTCATCGGTATGACTATAAAAAGACGTATAGTTTAGATTTCTACTTAGGTGTATACTATCTTTCATTGGAATCAATAATCTTAACAGAATACATTCCAAGTAATTTGTAATAATAGTTTTAATTCGCTAAAAAGTGTCATATTCCTTTTCAGATTTCATTTTCTTATATTTGTGTAGTTTAGCTGATATCAAAACCTTTTGCTATCGCTTGTCATTTGTTCACCGGTTAAAACCAAATATACTACACTTCCCTCTTGTATTTATTACAAAGTGGTCATATATGAAATAATCTAGTTGATTTTCCCAACACGTATACAAAATAACTTTCCAAAATTGTTTTGTCCATTAATCGAGTTTTCGACAAATTTTATTCTTTTTTTCGCTAAACGCCTGAGTGAGAAAATAAACAATATCTTAGATGTGCTTGTAAATAATGAACTGCAACAATATTTTGTTTTCTACTTGAAACTTCGTCATTTTTTTTAATAGCTATCATGTTTGCATATTAATGGAAGAATAAATTGTTGTTTGGTGATAAACAGAAATTCAATGGTGATAATAATAATCATACCAAACCAATAAACTGTTCATTCAGAAAATAGACTTTACATAATTTTTTCGCACTTTATCACATAGAAAATTTCTTTTGCA